AGCTGCCTGTTTAGTTTATGGCTGAATCTCTAAAGTGGCTGAATCTTTTTTGAAGCTTTTCCAAATCGATTCAGATGCTTCAAATCAATTCGGAGCTTTTAACTGGCCTCCCAATTTGATTCGGATTTGGAGATTTGGTCCTTGAATCGGGCCGAATCTCCTCCAAATCGAATCAGCTACCGAAACTTCGCATAGCCCTAGTGTTTATAGCATTAGAGATTATTCTGCCAGTTCCCTGAAATGACATAAATTATACTGCTATAAACACTTTTATACTGACTGCTATAAATACATCCACACTTGGGTATTTTGCCATATAGCTATAACAATAATGTAAATATCCTGGTAAAAACATCCTTAAGTAGACAAGGACTAGGGACAAAAACACAACAAAGTAAAGCATATCAAAATAAAATGTGTGTTATTATGATCTGTGATATGCATAAACAAAATGACTCAATAGGCACTTTGAAAATCCAGAAGAATTGTCCCTTCTTTTTCAGCTGTCATGCAGGGAAAAGGCAAGCTGGTCACCCTGATAGGTTTTAAATCAGTGGCATCACAGTTCCTGCTTAAGTCAGTTACTTGAGTATACACTAGCAGTAATGCAATAAGAGTATAAAATAACCATTATGCTTTGGTAATAGACAACTAACATCAGCCTAATAACTACTACATAAACAGCAATGTGTTAAGGAAGCAAAGCAGTGAGCTCCCTTTCCATTAATGGAAGTCTGCCTGTGAAGAACTATTCATTTAATCTAAAATGTGGAAAGTTTGAGAAAGACTAGTAGTGCACAGGGTCGCTGCAGTTTTATCCTATCTTATTGTTCTTGTTATCCCAAACTGAAGTGCTTCAATGGAGTTTAGCTTATTGTAATCAATATTTACTTGCTAAAAAGTGGGAATGTAAAGATACTGAAACATGGGAGAGTCTGGAAATTCTGTCAGTTGATCTACACTAAATGGTGACAGTTACTATATTCTCCAGTTACTACTTTGCTATTCTAGAACAATAAAGAATGTCTGTTTAAAACGTAATTAACACACATGTCAATATACAAAATAATACTTATATGTATGCTATTAAGATAACCTTAATGCCATATTAATCTTAAAGCTAGATTAGAAATAATAATACCATATATGTAAAATGAGTATGCCTTTTCTAATTAAAAGGTATGCTCCTCAACCCCCAACCCCACCAAATAAAAGATTGAAAAAAGGCAAGGAAAACTTTACTTTTCTACAGCAGATCGTTTCTGTGATTTTGCCTGGTAATTCAATGCCATCTTAGTTTCCATGCCAGTGTATATAGCAACACCTAAAATAAAAACAAAAACATTTTACTAGAGACTATCTCTTTCAATATAAGACACAGTAAGCTGCACAGGACCTAGCATCAACAAAACAAACATTAATTTAAAAAAAAATGAAACTATTTATTTCTGGTTTTGCCCAGCCTCATTAATAACAAGCCTTGATAGATTTAAAAATACAATGATTAAATACAACAATTAGAATCACTTTTAAAACAAAAAGATGCATTCAAAGTGCTTATTTAATCACCTCTGCTGTCTGCAGCTGAAATAAGATGCTCCCAGATGGGTACTCTGCTGAGATAATACCAAACACTGCGTATGTTAGTTAGGACAAAGGCCTACATAAAACTTGTACTGGCAATATTTTCACTGAGATTTTAAACTGGTCCTGTGAAGTTAAATGTTAAGTAAAAATTCTTATAGAATAGCTTAATAGCAATAATTTGCAATATTTCTAAGCAAACTGTACTTGAAGTCAGTTAATATCAAGTAATTTTATTTTCAGTATTGGCATTGAAATGACACAAAATTGCAAGACTCATTTCTAGTCTGAAAAGATTTCTCAACCTCCCTTTTTGAAGAAAGAACATGGTTCATCATGGGAAATATAATTTAGCCAGGGAGCCTGATCCCAAAGAGGAATAGAGACATGAAGGCATTGAACTTTATGGAAATCACAAGACTCACAGGAGAAAATTTTTTTGATCAGCTGAACATATATCTAACTAGGGTAACAATCTGCCTGCACTACCAATTCAGCAAAAGAGACTTTACATTTCTAAATAGGCCACTGACTACTAATAGATAGGGTTTTGGGGAATACTATTGCTTATTATGTTTTATACAAGCAAGTACTCTATAGATTAGAGCCATACATTTACTTACAAAATTTAGTATAAATTTTCTTTCAAGTTTTGCTTTCGTGACTAGGATTTGGAGATTCTTACATAAAAGCTTAGTATAATGTTTAAAGAAAAATATAGCCTATTCACTGCACAACAATTGTAGTAGTCTTAGTTATCTTACTGTAATTATGGCTACATACAACATCTATATCCCTGGTACAGATACCATTCAAGTATTGAAATAGAAAATGTATGTCCTGATTAATTTAACTGTGAATTCAAATTTGATTCAATGCTTACTTCTTCACTGAAAATTTATTTTAAGCATCTATTAAAATATTTACCAAAGATTTTTTCTGTGTTCTTTAAAGTAGCTCCTCTAAGAAGCAGATTTTCAGATCCTAATGGCCTGCAAAAGATAAAGATTATGAAACATGCATTAAGGGTTCACAGAGAAAAAGAAGACCATCATGAAAGATGAATGAAGCGGACAGCGTGAGCTTTGTTTAACAAGCAATCAACATTTGCCAAATCCAACATTTGTACTTGGATTTTATAACAAAGACTATGGTTGAAATATTTAAAAATATGGGTGGCCTAATGTTAAATTTCTAAATTCACATTCAGGTACCTATCTAAACTTGCTGATTTATAGAAGTGTTGAGAATCTAGCGGTTTACTTCTTCAATGAGTTTTATTGAAAAATACCAGTTCTGATAATTAGGCCATATACAGAGCTGACCTGAGCAGGGTGTGGGGCCCAGGACAAATCAGACCATGTGGGGCCCCGCCCCTACTCCAATCCCATGGGCCCTGGACCTGAAGAAGCTGCTGCCGCCGCCATTGGCAGTGGTGGTATCAGTGGTGGGGGGTGAGGAGGGGAGAGGTAGCAAGTGGCTGGACGTGGAACCGCGGTCCCGCTCTGCACTTCCCCACTCCGCAGGGCCCCCCAAAGTGTGGGGCCCAGGGCGGTTGCCCCGATTCACCCGCCACCAAGGGACAGCCCTGGCCATATAATTAGGTATCTCAATACAGAATTAGCCCTTAAAATTTCATACCCATACATACACATCCCCACAAACCCCATATGCAATCACTTCTGTATATACACCACAAATGCCCACATATCAGGACAAAAATATTTTTTTAAATTAAAATATATTATTATGGGTGTTTGATTTTTAGCATGTAATTTGTTTTTTCCCCTAAGATGGCAAGCCCTCTTTCCAAAAGGAGTACTTTCAGGGACAAGGGGAGGGACTTCCACTGGAAAATATCAGAGGTTAGGGGCAGGACTTCTGGCCCCAAGATAGTGACCATGGGGCAGGGCACCTATCAAGGGGTGGTGCTACTCATGCTGCCCTTGACTGCTTGCCAAAACTCAGTAAGCGTCCCGCCATCCAAAATAATTATCCACCCCTGTTTTAAAGTAAGATCTGTAACACAAACTGCCAAGGACAAACAGCATGCAGTACTGAATATCTGGCATGTTACAGACAGGGTGCCATTAGAAAAAAAGCATCAGTCTTTATTAGGAAAACAGGTGAAATACAAATTCTAAACTTTGAAACAGGCTAGGGACAGAAGTTATACATAAACTGGTTTATGTGATCAGAAACTGGTTTAAATCTGTAACAGAACAGAAGTTCAGTGCACATAAAGCAGTTTCAAAATGGTTGAAACTAGTTTAAGACAAACCTAGTTGAATATAGTATCAGACTGAAGGCAGACAAGGTTCTTTGGGTAGTTGTGATATCTTTTATTAGACTAACTAAATAGTTGGAACCCTAGTATCAGATTTAACTGATTTAGGTCAAACCAGTTTATGGAACTTCCGTCCCAGATCCCTTCCTGGTTCAAGTTAAATCACAGTCCCCCAGCACCCCAGGATGCTTTGCAGCCCTGGGCTGTGCTGTGCTGTCTGCTCAAGGAGAGCAGGGTTGGCCTTGCTCCTCTGCTCTCTACCAGGAGCAGTGAGGGCTGGCTGACAAGCAGTTGGGAGTGGAAGCCCAACTGGGGACACGGCTCCATCTGCCTGGTGGGGGCAGAGCAGCCCCTGCCAGACTTTTTCCTGATGGAGTGGAGGGGGTGGGGGCATGTGACAGCAGGCTCAGGTGGAGGGGGATTAAACCTTCCTGCCTCCCCTCTCCCACTGGCACAGGACCCCAGCTGGGGTATGCCTGGCTTCCCACCCCCCACCCAAACTTGCCGCTTGAGCAGCGGGAGGTGTGGCCAACTGGTGGCCCAGGCAGCACCTCAGGTGAAGGGGGGAAGGAGGATTAAACCCCCCTGTCTCCCCTTTTGCACCAGCATGGGACCCCAGCCACAGTCTGCATGCTTGTCCCCCAACCCACCACTCAAAAGCCAGGCAAACCCTAGGTCCCATGCTGGTGGAAGAGGGGAGGTGGGAGGGTTTAAATCTCCCCCCCTCCCTTCGCCTGAGGCACTGCCCAGCCGATCAAGCGGTGAGAGGGGGGAGGGCAGACCCCCGCTGGGGTTCCATGCTGGTGGGAGAGGGGAGGCAGGAAGGTTTAATTCCCTTCCCTCCAACCTCCCTTTGCCTGAGGCACTGTCTGGACCACCAGCTGGCCATGGCCCTTAGCTGCTTGGGGACAAACCTGCCAAGGGCTGCTTCCCCCTTCAGGCACACCCTGGCTGTGGTGCCTGCAGGCCAGGGTGGGGGTTTAAAGCCCTCCCCTATCATACTCAATGGCCTGCTGGAGCCTGGCCATGCCCCCACTTCAGCTCAGCTTCCCTCCAGCCTTCCGACCATTTCTGAAGGGAGGGCTCGCTTTAGCACCCCCAGGCTTCTACCCTGAGCCACAGTAGGCATGTTGCTCCATTTTAGGAATCAAAATGAATGTCTATTGACTTGCTTCTTGGTTCAACCTATGCAGGTTAGACTAAAGATTGAATCAATTCAACCTTGGACTTTTTGAATATCTGTACTTAGCTTAGGTCATTAACATCTACACTTGAATGCAATCTCTCATTTACAATTAAAAATTACAAAAAAACAAAGCATGTGCTAGGTGCCTAGCTCATACAAAAGTATGCACCAACACCTGCAGGGCAAGGAAGCTGCAAGAGCAAAACCTCAGCTGTTTATACTTTTTAACTATGTCAGCTTGAAAGATAAATGAAAGTGAATTATACATGCATCTTTACACAGTATAACTGTTTCCATGCTAGGAGGTAGCTGATTATCTTCATTTCTATACTGTTGCAAAATTAAGCTATTGTGCAGACAAACGTTTACACGAGGGGTGTCAAAAATTCAGCCTGGCCTGCAGGAGTATCCAGCCCCCACAGCTCTATCATCCAGTACCTGTGTTGCTTGTGGGTCTCAGAGCTAATATCACAAGTGGGGCATGCTAGATGGCCCCATGCATGGCCACTCTGGGATCATATCACATGTGGCAGCTGTTCCACTGCTCCAGGACATGTGCTGGATTTAGCATGTAACGCTGATCTGTGGGTCCAAGCCAGCTTGTGGACTGACCCCGTGCCTGCAGGCTAGATGAGTTTGATACCCTGCTTTACTATGTCCAGTGGAAGGAATTTTAAAAGCATTACATGTTCCCTGATCTTAATGGTCCTCTTAGCCAAGAATATTTGGCTTGTACTCCAGTACATATAATAAGGAAAAATTACTAGATAGCAGGTTCCAACTGTTTGATACAGAAATATTCTCACAGCTTGTGTCCATTATTTACGAGCTGGATGCACTGAATTTATGGGAACTACTGGTATATTTTGTCCAGCAAAGGGAAAACTGAAAAATGCCTCCATTTATTGCAGACCATTATTTATGTTATTTCAAATGGTTCTGTAGCACTAGAGAGGATTTAAGGCTATATTCAACTCTGATTTAAGCTCTGCTTAAGGCAAGAAAATTACACATCACCTCAATTTGGCCTATGAATCACAATATAAAAAGATAACAGAAAAATGCACTATATAGATTGTGATAATAGCCCTGTCCAAGACATAGATGCCAATGCCAGACACCTATCTTATTCTGCTTCCCAACCCTGACTACTGCACAGTCTTCCTAATCAGTGAACAAAAATATTCTGCTTGGGAGGATTTCTACATTCAAGTTCCTTTTCTTTTTCCTGTCCCAAATTAACAGCAAAGTAATCGGCTTTGATAAAAGAACCTTAACATCTGAAAACAAAGAGGCTTGTTTTAATAGGAGATTGCTATAAGCAAATGTCTAAAATACTGGCTTGTACACATACAGTATTTTGAAAAGCCTTATGAAAAACAAGTATTTTTTACATGATATGCTGGGAATTCCACTGCTATATTCCAACAGCAGAGAAAAAGTGCAAGACTCCAGTACTGTGCTAGAAAGCACCATGTTTTAAAGAAGGTCAAATATAGGACCCTGACCACTTGGGGGTATTAAACATTCCATGACATGTTTGTAAAATAAAGGCCATTAAGGCTGATGGTAAGGGAAAGTCATTCCCCAGCAAGCTAGTTCATTGTTGTTCCCTCTTCTCCTACTCTACCAGGCAAAAAAGTCTTTTAGGCAGCATTCTGACATTACCAGATCAGGAACTGGGAAGCAAAATATCTATTAATCAAACAACAGTGATGTCTAAGTCCCAATCTACTCTTAAGCACCCTGGGAGCAGGGGCAGGTGTAAAAGAGATGCAGGATGAAGTACAGTCACAACAAACATTGCTAGCAAGAAATCTTCACGTTTGATATGACTATCCCTCCTCTCCTATGCTAACTGGCAATTGATGTAGCATGTAGCATTATCCCCAAGGAGTCCAACTAGCCACTCTTTCACTTGAAAGGCTATAAGCATCATAAACAGCTACCGGCAGGGGAGGGCTCTCTTTGTCTGCTATCTGGTACCATGTAAACTAGTACCACCTGGTCAATGGTTAGGTTGTTGGCAACTAAACCGGCACCCCTACCTGGGCTAGCCGGGGTGAGGAGGGTGTGTGGACACCCAGCAGGACTAAAAACAAGCCCTGTCAAGGGGCAGATGAGCTCCCTGAGAGCCAACGGCCATATGTACCTGAAAAAAAAAAATCTCTCACTACTTGCTGGAAATGGTTCAGATGAGGGAAATAAAACCCTAGCTCCTAGCATATTTATCCAAGCCCCCAGTCTTTGTGATGGAGGCACTTCCAAAATGTGGCAAGTTTGGCCAACTTGCTGGAAGCATCACAGACAACTGTTGACAACTCATTTGCTGGCATACAGTACAAGCATTGATGGGAGAAAAGAGGAGAAAAGGAGCATGGAACAGAAGTTGAAGGAAAGAATTTGAAGAAGTTGAAGGAAAGAAGTTGAAAGAAAGAATGGTGACAGAGAGACAGGCTGAGGGGAAGAAGGTGTTAGAGAGGGGGGAAAGAATGTTCCCACAGGTTTCAGAAAAAACAATTAACACTGCCATCACTCAGGACTATTCCTTTAATCTCTTTGTGGAAGATACACTTCACTGACCTTGCCTTTTCAAGAATACACATGTGGTTTTGTGCATATTTTAAAGCACAAAATGACCACTACAATGTACATCTAAAATTATTATCTTGAAGAGAAGATCCATGGGATAGAATAAATAACATATATCAGGTCAGTGAGACCACTTCATGCACTCTTGGCAAGTGGGACAAAGAGATGTGCATGCATTAATGCTCAATATCACCACGCCTAATGTTTAGGTGCACCTGGCTCCTAGAGAGCAATTTAAAGTCTGAGACATGTGCCCACATTCCATATACAATAAAAGGAGAAGAGTTAGATAGCCGAGACTGAAGTGCACAACGGTCAGTAAGATGACTGGAAGGGGTCCTAGGGTAGCCAAGAGGAAATGCTGAGGGCAGGCTATGGATGCTCTGCTTTCTGCCAAATTCAATACTAAAAGTTTGTGTCGGGTATTGTCTAAGCACCTGATTCAGGTCCCTCAGGAGGCTTATACAGATAGATCTTGTTTGCGAATAGCCTAAGGCAGGGGTAAGCAACCTACGGTGCACAGCTTGGATCCAGTCTACTAAACAATGGCATCTGGCCCATGGAGCCAGGACATCAGTGGCAATTCTGTGACAGGGGAAGCAGTGCAGTACCGTTCCTTTGCCCTTGCATGGTTTCTCTGCCATGCCACCTGCTGCCATTCCAGCCCTCGTGGCTTTTTCTATTGTGTCCCCACACAACAACCATTGCTTCCCATTCCACAGAATTCATCAGTGGCAACAAGAAACAGTGAGGGGTAAGGAACAGCTGCTACAGTACAGGAGGCACAAGAGCAGCCCCTGGCACGAAGGGCTGAGGTGGTTCAGAGCAGCAGCCTGTCTTTGGACCCAACAGCCTTAATTTCACTCTGCTGCTTGTTAAAGGGTGTTGACCCCTGACCCTGACCTAAGGCATGAGATAGATGCTAGGTCAGCCAAGATGCCAGTAGCAACTAAGCACCTAAGCAACACTGCCCAAAACGGAAGTACATATGGGTGTTCAAATAACTTAAGAGTAGTGGTGCTGAACCTTCCAGCCCAATGAGCCAGAAGAGAGGATTGGGGCTGGTTTGTGGGTCAGATTCTGTGGGAAGGACCAGTCTGTGAGCCTGATCCAGTGCATGAGGTGAGCACGTGGGGTCAGTCCACAGGTGCAATCTGCCACAACAGTCTAGTTCTACACACTGGTCTGACCCCACGCACTTGATCTGGCTGTATAGTGACCCCATGTGCTAGCATGATCCAGTGTAGGGGCTGTGTCATTTGGCCTCCAGAGTTCTCCATGGGTCAGACAATTTGGCAGAGAGGGAGGAGCAGTGTTAATTGCTGAGCCTCTGAGAACAATTAATCCTACTATCACTCCACTCTACTCCCTGCTGCCAAACTGCCTGACCCAGGGGGAGCCCTGTGGGTCAGATGACATGACTATAGTGGCCATATTCGGCCAACATGCCAAACAATGAACATCACTGGCTTGTGCCAGATGCCTCTTATAGACTCAGGCACCTACATTCTGCTCGTGTTGCAAATAAAGCTCTTAAAGTCCTTTCTTCGGATCTGAAATGTACACTGATAATAGCACTATGGCAACCTATGTTCTTATAAGTAGGACAGAATAAAGATACCCAATTGAGCAGTATCTGAAATGTCTGTATGTAGTAGAAATACATTCTGGTACTATAATGAATTGAGATGAAAATTAATAACATTATACAAACAAATGTGTATGATCACATTTAATTACTGGTTATTGTATTAAAATAGATTACAATCTGGAGTACCACCCTAAGCAGAAAATAAAAATAGTATAAATAAATTAAAATATGATCTTAGAAAAATAAATGAAAGAAAAATGTTTACTATATATAAGTTAAACTTTTTTACACTAAAAATAATTCTATTTATAAACCAGAGAGCTTAGTACTGAAAAGCAACATATTTAACCTTATTATTGACAAATATTAAGGAACCAAAAACTTAGACACTAAGTAAAAACTCATTCTTTTACCTGGCAATAGGTTCATTCCTATCATGGTAAACATTTATTCGACCAACAAATCTATAAAAGGAAATAAAAAAAGTTTATTCTGAGTGTATATATACATATATATATGAAGGAGAATTTTGGAAATATTATCTTTAATACGTTTAAAATGTATTTTATGCAGAACCTAATTATTTTTATGAGTGCATATACTTCATTTTTTTAAACCTTGGAACTATACAGGAAGTTAAGAAGTATTTTTAAAATGTTCCATAAAATTAACTTATTATGGTGAACAGAATATTTACCAAGTCAGGATGCTTTGAACAGCTAAGCTAAATACCCTAAATTAGTATCATATAATAAACATAATAAAAAATAAAGCAGTAACTTGAGGATTTATGTAAGATGCATTACACTTTCCATAAACCTCATTTTCATGAGCTCACTTTAAAATATATTAGCTAGAAGAGAAACAAAGATGCATGTACTTTTAAGGTCACTTGCAAACCTTCTAATTGGAATTCATTTTTATTTATTTATGATCAGTTCCAGAAATAAAATCTTTGTTTTATAAACAAGTTGAGCTAAGCAATATTATAAATGATATGCTTTATAAAACTCAAAGATTTAAAACATAGATATTAAAACCTAGGAAATTCATAGGCCAGGGCTTTAGGCCTTCTAGTGTGAAAACTGTCAGGAACAAACATTAAATTACTAGAATATGGGGTTATGAATATCAGCAAGTAAAACCAGCAGAATTCCTTTTTGCTCACATAAAAGATTATTCATAGATGTGTTTTAGGTGTATTTACCTAGTGATACTCATAATGAGATATAAATTAGAACTATGCATACCAAAACCAATAGGGGTGCACTGATAAAGATTTTTTGGACCAATACCAATGGCCAAGTATTAATGAGCCATATCAGCCGATACCAATCCAATTGCTGATATGCATCCTGGCAGCTTGGAAAGCAACATCCAGCTGGTAAGTCTGTTGGGGAAAAAGGGTGGGGTGAGGAAAGGGGTGTGGGCAGACTGAGGCCCCCGCAGTGAGGAAGGGAGTGGGCTTGGAGCTGTTGCTGCTTAGCTGCAGCAGGGCAAGGAATGGAGCCACAAGTGACTCGTCTGGGGGATGCGAGGGGGGAGGGGGGAGCAGCTCCCGCTGCTGGTGCACAGTGGGGGAGGCCCAGGGGGACATGTGCCCCTAGATCTGCGCGTGGGGTGAGGGTGAGCTGCCTCTGCGGCCCAGGGCCAGGAGCAGCGCTGGGCTCTTCCTGGTGGGGAGTTGGGCCAGGGCTGCATGTGAGGCCATGCTCCCTGAACTAGCTGCTCGCGGCTCCATCTCATACCCCACCCTACCCTGGCTCGGCAAAACCTGCCCCAGCCCCAATCCTTCCATCACCACAGGGGTCTCAATCTTCCCCCACACACCCCTTTCCTCCTCCCACTCCTTTTCCCCTAGAGAATTACCAGCCAGATGCTGCTCTCCAAGCTGCCAGGCTGCGAGCATGCACACAGCATGCATCAGCGATATTACCAGCCACATCAGCAAAAAAAAAGGTGATTGCCGATAATGTCAAATTTGTTTTTATCAGTGCCGATATGATATGAACCAATGTATTGGTGCATCTCTGAAATCCAGGTCTGTGTTTCTATTTACTACTATGTAGTGACAAAATGTAGATGTAAAATTTAAAGGAGCTGTGTCAATTAACTAATCAATATTTTTAAGCATAAAATGTTATAGGAAGAAGATTTTTAAAAAACAATTTAGTTAAGACTATTTGTGCCCCTTACTCAACTTTAGGATGTTTGCTTTGCTAGAATAGGAACATTGGGATGGGGGAGGGGGGGAGGTATCAATAAACTGTTTCATTTTCAAGTTTTCAGGATTGCAAGGCTTGGGGTTTAAAAACAGGAGAATATTTGCTTAAAATAAAAATTACTTCCCCATATTGTAACTGAAATTCTTCGAAATGTGTGTATTTCCTTATCTGTGGTCCACTGAAATTTCAAAGGCACCTGAATCCGCAAAATTTTACCAGCAGCATCCCATTAGTCTGGTGGAATTTGCAATGAATTTCATATCTTTATTCACTCTTACAAAGTTTTTAAATCATCAGGATATAAAGGAGAACTTAGTGTGACCATCTTATATGATGAAGAGGATGTCTTATAAACACCCTGAATGCAGGATGTTTCAAACTGACTGGAAACCATCAAATCTGATGGTACTTCACATTAAATTAGTACAGCAGACGTGAGAATAGCAGCAGCCCTGTCCTTATTCGGTATTTAAGACTAAACACCTGGTACCACTTATTGATTGTTGCAGATATGCTTGGTAACAAAACTACTTACATCACTCAATTTCATCCCACAGGATGCATATACATGTATCCCTACACTGCCATTGTTACTGCGCTGCAGGCACAGCTGGTGAACTCAGACTGGTGGGGCGGGTGGAGCATCACACAGGAGCAGGGTGGGATTTGCAGCCAGCTGAGAGTGGGGGGCGGGGGGGAAAGGGGTTTGCAGCCAGCCAGGCACTGTGGCTGGAAGCGAGGAGGCTGCACCCCCGCCCCCCGCGTGCCGCTCTACCCACCCCACCAGTCTGAGTTTACCAGCCGCACCTGCTGCACTCTCATTTAGTACTTCCTTTAGAAGTACGGATTCAGTAACAGCCCACACTGTGCTGTGTCGTGTCGGTGGTGTATGGTTATTATTAGTCTCTATGTCACCATAGCAACAGGCTATAGTGAGGGAGCGCGTTACTCCGGCGACAAAACTGCAGCATCATGGTTTGTGTCTGCAGATGCTATGTCGCTGTAGCATGTTGCTACTGTGACATAGCGTCTTGTGTAGATGTGCCCACTGGGTATGAAAGCAGGTCACATTACAACAGCTATAGCTCCTCAGAGCATTACAAAGGTCCTTAGGCTTCAGCGTCAAAGTACTTGTACTACACTCCACAGCAGACCTAACTGCACTCACAGCAGGCTGCAATATCTCAACATGGAAGAAAGGAGATTATGTGACATGGCAATTCTTTTCTCCATCTCTAAGGAACTTAAGAGTTGTCCTTACCATCCTTCTTCTGTGAATCCAACTCCTTCGCCCATGACAAGGCTGAGTTTGAAGTGACCTTTCTTACTTCCTAAGCCCATTCTACTGTGTGGGGAGAAAAGGGAGCTTCACAGGGTCAGGATCCTAGTTCTTAGTACTCAGTGACTTGCCTAAGGAACATTCTTAACTGAATCTTTCTAACTTTCAGTTTGAGAAAATGACCTGCTGATATACTTTAGAGCAGTAGAGGAAAGCTTGTCACAAATTAGCCCCATACCCTCCCCAAATGCCACTCCAATATCTTTCCGTTACTCAATCTGCCTTAGCTTTCTGCTCCCTGCCATGTGCTCTCTGCCTGATCTGCTGCTCTACTTTCTGCTCCCTGCTTCATCTGTCACCCTGATTTGCCACATACCATGCAGAGGCTGCCCGTGCCACAAGTTAACCAATTCTACTTCAAGAGAGATGTAGGTCTTGAAGTATGTCAAGCAAATGCTGTCGTTGTTTTTTACAGGGAAGGGATCCAAACAGATCACACAATTCTTAAGTTTGGAGACCGTGGAAGAATACAGTTCTTACAGAGAAAGCATGTGAGGGAAAGACTTAAGGAGAATGATCTCTATACTCCTCATGTTAACTACTCTTAATTCTATCTAAATACCAAATTATTAAACCAATACTAGCAAGCTACCAGCTATATACCATCCAGCCGAGTACAAAGTAAAGCGAAGTCCTCTTGGCTTGCACCATCTCAATCCAAGATGGCGTGAAAGAACTAGAGTGTTGTTATAACCTTGAAATAATACATGGAGATAGTTATAGTGTACATGTCGCGTAAGCAGGCACTTCTGACAAAAACACTGGTTTTAGGTAAGTGGAGCATGAACACAACCTATATACAGGAACAGTAAGTCAAAAAAGCAACTATTTTAAACTTGTCTTATTTTACAGAAGCTTAATTTAACATTTAAAATCTGGACTAGATCTGAACTGACACGATCTGTTCAATAGCATCATTTTGTAGCTTGTTTACAGGATACCACAACAGCATATGCTAACGCTATAAAGATACAAATGATTTTCTTACTTATAAAGGTCAGGCTGAGGTTGTTCACATTCAATGGTAGCATGCAGTGCATCAATTTCTTGTTCGGTACGAAACGCTTTTGTATCTTGAACAGCATAATAAGTCTGGAATGAATGAGGAAAAAAACTAAACTAACTAAAAAATTGTGGCTTATATACTAACCAAGATATTATCCTGCAGAAGTAGTTTAGCGGGCTATGCCTCTCCCCTAAACAGAACATATACATATTGAGTTTGTCAAGACTGAAAAAGGCTCTCGGAGTCAATATATTATTTATATTTCCGCGTTAGGCTGTTAGAGCCTTGTAATATTGATTTTCATTATAAGTGCATCCAAATGCATACCCTGACCTGAATTTTTCCTCTGCTTGCCATAACAGACAGACAATTCATAAATGTAAAAAATATCTGGATGGTCCTCTACCTTTTGTATCATAAATTTTAAGTAAAATGTATTTGTTTTTTAATAAGCTTTTACACCAAGGTTTGTACTTTAAAATGGGCACTTCTAAGTATACCTGACCTTTCATATTCCTAATTCCTGAAGTTTGAGTTCTACAAGTGTATTAAAAAGACACAACTCTGGAACCTGTGTGCTATCTTAAGCCCTGGCAAAAATACAGATATAAGCAGGGATCCTGGTTTTCCCTTATAAAAAAAAAAATCACAGATTCTCTGATAAAAACCCCAAAATCCACAATTAAAACGAAACACCCCTCTCTCTCTCTCTCTCTCTCTATATATATATATATATCAACTAAACACAATGTTTTATTGATATATTTACAATTTTAAAGCAATTTGGAAGCCTACTAGTGCCTCAATCACTATAATAAAATAAATTCTAAATAACTATACATTTTGGTATTTGATTTGGGTGTCTTATCATAGAAAATAAGAGCTCCCTCTACCCCCTTCACTCACCAAGACACAGGTCCAGGCCCCTCACTCCCAAGCCACAGCCCCTCAGTCCTGCTGGTGTCCCTCATCCCCCACCCACAGTTCCCTGCCCCCCCCCCGCCAGAGGGGGCCCCCAGCTGCCAGGTCTATGGGATCAGGGACCCAGGTCCGCTAACTCCCGCCCCCCGCAGCAGCGCTCAAGCCTTGGCTGCTGCAGCCCAAGTGGGGAACCTTGACTCCGCTTCCACCATAGATGGCACAGCTGGAGTAGAGCCTGTGGTAGGGGAGGTAGGTGCAGGCTGCCCGCTACAGGCTTGGGCAGGGGGTGGTGCCAGCTCCCCGCCACTGTGCGCACTCCCATTGGGGTAGGGGAATGCCTCTAGGTCTGTGTGTGGGGCAGGGGCAGGCATGGATGTGGGCTGCCTGCTGTGGGCTCAGGCTCTGCCAGCCTGCAGAGAACTTTGAAAGAGAGCAAAATCCACATGTGTCTCTGCTAAATTAAAAAATCCGCATCTTTTCTTGGGTAAAAGGAAAAATCTGCATTCTTCTCCATTTTTCTGTGGGAAACAGAAAACCTGGATCCCTGGATATAAGCAAGCACTAGTTTGAAAACTTAAAAAAATAACATAATGCTAAAGAATCCCTATCAACCTATAGGAAGCTGTATCCTTTTTACATAGATATGCAGGATGTCATTGTATTCAATGCCAAAAACTAGGGACCACCTCTATCTTAAAAAGAAAATATATAGTATTTTTTACTTTATGACTGGATTCACCATCCAAACTAGCAGTTGTAACAAAACATGTTCCATCCCCTCGACTACTTGATAGAAATATTAAGTCACATGGGAATGTTTCATCTTCTTTTACCATCACAATATCTCCAACCTATGAAAAAAAAAAAGAAAATAAAACATTTATCATTTTTTTAAAACTTGAAACTTCAGATTCCAAGGATGAAACCCTGGCCATTTTAAAGCCTGGGGCTAAACTCCCATTGACTTAAATGAAACAAGGCTTCACCAGCTTGGATCCACAGAGACAAGTTGCAAAGAGTAGTACATGCTGTAGGAAAAATAATACCTAGTGCTTTTATTGAAAAATATCTACCCTCTGAAGATCTCAAAGCACTTCAAAAACATTAGTTGCTTAATCCTTACAACATTCTACGGAGACAGATCTGCCACATGTCTCACAGGCTGCCCATGTCACTTGTGGCACATGTGTGATACAGCTGCTTCCCCTAGGCTGCATTATAGGTTACACAATGAGTCAGTGTGAGAAACATGATGCAGTGGTCTCACTCCACTGCTCAACTGTGCATGACCCACTATAATTGGCTCCTGAGGATATACATGAAGATTGAGTTGTGGTAACTAGATCAGGCTGAAAGGATTCAAGTTTTTCTATGTCAAAGGGGCAAACTTTTAGCAAAAAGTTTCATTAAAACTTCCTTCCAGCAGTGATGTCAAGCAAATTAATTCAAATTTATATAACCACAACTAATACTTCTACAGACCTTGCAGGTTTGTATTAGTCTTATAGCATGAACAAGCACTATTTTTTGCAAAAACATCCAGATATTGTTGAAATTCTAATTTAATGACCGAAGAATGTGAAGGGGCTAGAACGTAATCATATTTTGTCAAAATATCAGTTTCAATTACAATTTTCATCATAAAATAAGGGGTTTTTTTTGAGAAACTCTGACGAATATGGTTTTCTTTTGTTTCCTATTTTATCATGTCAAAATGCCCATGTCTAAAGAACTCCCCACTGTGCTTTTCCTGTCATTCACTTCTTGCTAAATTGATTTAATGAGGTCCCAATCAGTTTCATAACAGTGATATGAAGTTACAAAGACTGAATTTTGATAGCACTAATCTGGTAGCAGGTAGCCAATTCTAATTATATACAAATATTTGGATAATCAACAATAATGGCAACATATAAAATAAATCAAAATAGTTTAGATAAGTCTTGGAAAAAATATATATCCAGTTATTTTATATATCCAGAAAAAATATTGTATCCCAGTTTGCCAGACTGAGAAAAGAGTTAAAGAATCTGCTTAGTCTCCATCGGCATTAGTATATTTGTATATTTTGAAACAATTTGGGTGTCTGTAAAGCTGAAAATTGCAGGATAGGATTCTACTTAATATTTGCTTTGAGAAAAACCACAACCTCTTAATTTTTTTTGGCTCAAATGTTTTATTTCAGCACTAACTAGCCATAAATATTTTTGCCAAGGAGTGTACTTCAGTTTTCAGAATGTTTCAGATTTGTTCAGTGACAGGAGATCCCAAGGGTCAGGCAGGGATATAATCCAGTGTTTTCCAGACAGCCTCTTATGTGGCTTCTTGTCTCCCACTCCTTACTAGATATTTTATCCCTCAGACTTCTTCTCCTTTTCTGCACCTTCCACCTAAAACTACCCGTCCACACAGTGTTCGCCCTGAAATTCCTCTAATAATGAACACTTATATTTGGACCATTTTGGATACATCTGGTCAAAGTCAGCTTTGCAAAGCACTTAGTGGGCCAATGCACCATTTCAGAAGTACTATTTGGACCCTGCCTGCTTTACAAAGCATGCATAGTTACACACATCTACTGGCTAATTTAGCGAGTTAATAAACTGGCTAAATATTTGAAATGCTGTTTAAATATTTCAGCCCTACTTATATTCATGTTGGCTCCCAAAAGATTCCCTGAAAGGTAATTTGGAAAAAGACAAAAGATATTTTGAAGTTTTAGGTCAAACTTATTTGAAAATAAAATGTAGGAAAAGAGCTTTACTTATATTTTTGAGAAAGAACAGACTATTTTGGAGCCTCAAAAAAGCCTTTGTTCAATTTAAATTTTAAATTCTTAAAAAGAAAAAAAGCAAGAGTGTTTACAATGAGAGCTGACAGTGTGAAAATTCAGGTAATTTAGTCTGATCTTGGTGACAAGGGTAAAAAATAATTTATAACAGAATGCTAGAATTAGGTTTTGGTGGAAAACTACTTAGCCACCTTCAAATTCTCAACCTTTTTATTATATTAACAATTTTGTCAGTCCATCTTTCTTGTTTTTAATGTATTAGCAGTGTTTTTTTCTCTGACCATGATTCCAGTGAACTTATTTGAATTACCTTTCTTAAAAAGCGTAATGGTAATTCAGAGACAGCCTACAAAATGGCAGGAGTTACTTGAGGCCCTGGAATTAGGCAACGATGAATGGAATCAAAGAGTGTTTACTAGTTGGTAGTAAAAAAGCTAAACAAAAAATTTGTCACTAACAAATTGCAAGCCACTCACAGGTAGTGGTGGTACAGAGTACTGCAAATAAGATTATTTGAAAGTATGTTTCTAACAAACAGTGGAGTTTCATGTCTTGGAAGGGATCCAAGACTGAACACTTTGATTGGGCAGAATTCACTATGAGGTTTGTTAAAGGAAAAAAAGAAAAGGAACATTACAGAACATACTTCCCTAGTGGGAGGAGGACTGGTTGGCAAGTGCTGTCAGCTCACTGACCTACTAGCCAAATACAATAAAACACCCTACTGTTTAAGATTTTTAAAGGAACACAATTGCAGTCTCAAAATTAGGCTTCTGTAAAGCACAAAGAATTTAGTTCAGCCTCAAGACTGAACAACCTTTTCCCAAAGGGATTTTTAAAGCAAACTTTTAATTTAAGAAGTTACATGCATTGATCTTCACTTTGAGAAGCCTGTGATCCTCCTCTTTATTCTAGAAGTACGGAGGGATGAGGCCTGCTAATTACCAGCTCAGACCTCAAAATAGAGAGATTTATTTAGACAGTATACAGAGACGTGAGTGTACTATGCTCTTACCAGTTGATAAAGTCTCAGGCTTTCCAGGTTTAGGAAGATAGTAGCTTTCTCAGCCACCTGCTTCTGGTTAATTAATCTCACAGATTTAGGGACCAGTCAGGGATCAAGATGCCTAATCAGAAGGTGAATGAGGCAGCAGATGCCTTCTGTTTGTAGGCAGTTTGGCCAAGGTCTGCCATCTGCACTCTGAAGTAGGTGGGGGAAGGTGCTAATGACACAAATTCTGTCCACATTTTTAAGCTACATAGATCAAGAGAGAACCTGGATGGCAAAACATGTCTGAGTGGCTCCTGGACTACAGATTTTACAAGTCATGCTCACAACAAGAGCAGAGTAAGCCATCTGACCATTTAGGACTGTAGGTTCCCACATCCCATGCTAGTTCAGGTAAACCAAAATAATCAAAATGCCTAGATGGTTAAAATTTTGTCAACAAGGGCCCCTCAAGCTAAACAGCTTGCTATTAAGACCCATTAAGACCAATATCAGCTTGAAAAAGAACTTTCACTAGGATGCAGCAGGAACCCTCTAACAGAATGGGATAGCGTTCGGTTATCACAGTCCATGAGGAGAAAGAAGTTTGTGTTTTGAAGTCAGTAGGAATTGGACATCTTGACATAATAAATTATAATAAACCTTCCCAATGTGAAATCTTTACCAGGAAGAAATTAAATGATGGGAAATGGCTTTGAAGCAAATCACCAGGAGGTAGAATAGATCTTGCCATCCAGCCTACAGATGAATTATTAGAACACCTTGCATTTTGTTTGGACTTTCATAATTTTCTCTGCCACCAAAGAAAACTCTCCAGCTGGTAACAGATGTATGTATAAATCCTGCATAAAGTACCATGGAATTACCGCTGAGTCATATTAAATGTATGCATTCAATTACCTCCACTGAGGCTATAGTAGGGGCAAAGCAGAAATACTTTGAAGGGGGGAAAAACCCATGAACAGCCAGGTTTTGACAGTTGAAGCTGAAATAGTATTAGAGATACTATTAACGACAAAAGGCAGAAAGGTGTCCAGAGGCAGGAAGGCAAGAAGAACTGAGTTTAGATTATGCACAGAATGTGTATGTTTATTAGGGGAAGACTTGGAACATCACTCGCTTAGAGAGACCCTTCAAACTCTCTTCACAGTAGGAAGCAAAATAAGTAGTAGAAAATCCTCCTTTGGAGAATTAATAAGGCAGTCCACAAGATAAACTAATCCATTAAACTACAGCATTCATAGACAAGTAAGAATGAAAGATAATAGGCACATAAAAAATGGAATAGCTGACATCAGAAGATTGCTATCTTTGTTGAGAGCACATATTGAAAAGCTATTCTACTCAGAAGTAAAGTTATCCTTAATCAGAAGGAAGTATTGAAAATTTTGAAAATATAATGCCAAAAACCAGACCATCAGACTCACAAATGTAAGATTTAATCACATTTCAAAAAGATATTCAGGCATGACACCAACTGAAGTGGATGCTGAAATGGCAGAGCTAAGAGGACTAGGAATCAAAAACCATACTATATCATCTTATTTGGTTTTCAAGAGTACTCTTAAAATAGAGGTAGTAGAGAAAAAAGGCCTTTTGTCCATAGTCCAAGAACAAATCCATCAAGGAGTAGTGATCACTGGAAGAAAGTTGAAAGCATTGAACCCCCTCTACCACTAGGGCCACTGGCACACATTCATTTAATGGCACAATGGGACATGATCTCAGATTCCAATAATCAGAGCATGAATGGCATTTTTTTTGGAATCGGATCTCAGAGTCTGGAGGAGTCTGAAGTCCAGGAGGCATCTGGAATAATGCTCCCGTCCTCCTGCACCAGCAAATTGAAAGCCCAGTGCTCACAGCCTAGTTGAATCTAAGCAGTCCCCCTGATTGTCAGTCTTAGCCCCTGGACCACACTGGGGCCAGGTCAAGACTTTAGGACAGAACAATCCCATGCACTGCTACAGGTTTGGGACCAACTGATTAAGCAGCAGCTCTGCAGAAAAAGACTTGGGGGTTACAGTGAACAAGAACCTGGATAGGAGTCAGCAATGTGCCCTTCTTGCCAAGAAGGCCAACACCATACTGGGCTGCAATAGTAGGACAGTTGCTAATAGATTGGAGAAACTGATGATTCCCCTATATTCTGCACTGTCGAGACCACATCTGGAGTAGTGTATCCAGTTTTGGGCCCCCAATATAGAAAGGGTGTGGACAAGTTGGAGAGAATCCAGTGGAAGGAAATACAATGGTTAGAGGGCTGGGAGTTATGAGGAGAGCCTGACGGAACCAGGCTTATTTAGTCTGCAGAAGAGAAGACTGAGGAGATATTTAATAGCAGCCTTCAACTACCTGAAAGGGGTTCCAAATAGGATGGAGCTAGACTGTTCTCAGTGGTGACAGATGAAAGAACAAGGAACCATTGTTCTTACATGGCAGGAAGGGAGGTTTAGGTTGGATATTAGGAAAAACTCTCTCACTAGGAGGAGGTGAAGCATTAGAACAGGTTACCTAGAAAGGTGGTGTCCAGCTTTGGAGGTTTTTAAGGCTCAGCTCAACAAAACCCTAGCTGGAATGATCTAGCTGGGGCTGGTCCTGCTTTGAGCAGGGGGTTGGACTAGATGACCACCTGAGGTCCCTTCCAACCCTCATTTTCTATGATTCTAAGACTCCATTGGGGTCCTGGAGCCAGGAACTACACCAGAGTTTTGAGTCGTCTTTGGTTACCCTGACACATGTTCAATTTAAGGTATGATGGAAATAAGCCATGAAAATATTATACATCCTTTGTGGAATATTTTTGTGGTCAGTTTTCTGTTTTGTTGTGCCATTAATGTATGACAGGCTTACTATTTATGGTGCCTTAATTATAACATCTGCCAGGGGCCTAGTAGGAGTCAACCTTAAGTTGTCCTCCATTTCCTAAATAGTCTGTTACTAAAGAACTGAGACATCAATGACACTGCCTGAAACAGGAATCTCCATACAAATCAGGGTGTTACACTGAGGCATATTACCGTTGACTTGTGTTTGCACTGAGGTCTAATTAATCTAAAATCCTTGCTTCTTCCATTCTGTTTGGTTGTCACAAGGCTACAATCTGTGTTGCCACCTTTCTTTTTCATCAGTGAATCCAAAGAGCCTTAAGTTTTTGAATTGCCTTCAATAGGGCTTTTACACTTCTCTTAGAAGTAAGTATTTGAAGCTAAACACTGCTCCAAAACTCATTTGATTAGTCACTGCCAAAGAAGAAGTCCTAAATTCTACTGAGGAAACAAGCTTGATATCTGTGGCAATAAAACTAAGGAATGAACAAGTACAACCCAAATGGTTGTTCTAGCTGGCCACTTCATGTACCCGCACATTGTAAAGTGAAATTCCGAAGGTGGTTTATGAAAATGAAGAGTATCGACTTTCGAGAGTTACAAACCAGAACTTATTATTAGTGATTCTAACGAGGTTCACTCTACAAACCATGTCATTAGGGCAAAGGCAGGCAAAGTCCAGCCCTTGGACTGGATTGGGCCCATAGTAGAATCCATTTCCCAGAAGCCCCTGCCTGTGTCACTATGACCAGTTTCCATGGAGACTCCAGGAGCAGTTGTGCCAAGGCAGTGCAGGGCCAGAGTTTCCATGAAGACTGGCCCCAGCAGTGCCAGTTGGGCATGCAGCTGGGTGGGGAGCTGCTCTGCGACTGGGATCTTGCAGCAATGACGATCCAGTCCAGAGCCAGGGCAGAGCTGCGATCTGCCCCCTGCACACCCCGGGCAGGGGCGTACAGGCAGTGGATCACAGCTCTGCCTGAACTCGACACTATGCTGTGACCACTGCAAGATCCCAGCCCCAGCTCTGAAGCAGCTCCCTGCCCAGCCACCAGCCCTGTAAGTGCTGCTGGGTTTGGTCTCCATGGAAACCCTGGCCCCACACTATCACTCCTGGGGTTTCCATGGAAACCATCTGCAACAACAGAGGTAGGGGCTGCTGGGAAATGGAGTCCAGCTGCTGGCCAGATCCACTATTTTGCCCACTCCTGCATTAGAGAAAGATTTTTTTTTTAAAAAGCCAAAGAAAAACCAATTACTTGAGCTGATATAGCAATTTCTAGTGACAAAAGCCTACCAGAATAGGAATTAATAATCTAAACTGAAGGTCAAGAATTAATTCAAGAAGGAATATAAAAGAAATAGAAACCCTGACAGAAGCAGTCTGTCAACCAAAAATTTATGCTCATCAGTGCCATTTGCTAATGCCCTGGTGAAAAATAAATTAAACAATTAAAAGGAAAAATTTTCTTCTTGTTTTCAGGGGTTTGTTTTTTTTATTTTGATCAAGTTTCATAGGTTCATATATGTTTAGGCCAGAAGGGACTATACACAGTGTGACCTCCTATATAAAAACTGGTCATAAAATTTTAGCCAGTTAACTGTACATATTTTCTTTATTCAAAAATATCTCTCAGGGCTTTTTGCCAAGGGCTCTTTTGTAAATTAGTCCCTAAAAACAGCTATTTCAAAAGGAGTAAAGGGAAGATGAAGGAAGTGAAAAGGTGATAATTTAGGCCTTGGACACATATTACATGTGCATTGCTATATCCTCCCTTAGAGTGATACAGAAAGCATTCAGGCTGTCTGTAGTGCCATAAAGATGGTGGATCCAAAAATGGTGGATCTATCACCAAAATGTTCCTGTTTTAAACAGAAACTCCTTTGTAGGGCTGGTTTTTAGTATGCATATCTGTTCAGTTACATATAGAACTACAGAGGGTCTCTTGGTCCTCCAGCATCCCATACTGCTCTGCTCTCCATTCCCCCTCTTCAAGATAGAAAGAGGGAAAGCATCTGGCACTCCCACGGAGCGGCAAAACTGTAGCTCATCTAGGGCTTGGGACTATAGCTCTGCAGTCAAGTGCCGCAGAGCCACAGCTGCTCTGAGGAAACAGTGACTGCCACCACTGCAGTGAGAAGGACTGGTAACACAGATTTAACATTAAATATGCATGTTCTCAATTTTCAAGTTACTCAAAAGACTCATGAAGAGATAATAATGCCCAAATGGATGTCTCAGGCACTCTTCAAAGAAAACTTTAGAGTTGGTCATGTCAAAACAGGAAGCACTAAAACAAAAACAGAAGCAAACAAACAAAAAAACCAAACAACCCTCCCCACTTTGCTTGGAATATCAATCATCTAAAACTGTGAGGTTCTGAAAAATAAATCAGAAGGCCAAGTTATTTTGCTCACAGACATTTACATGGATTCTGATAATAACCCCAAATTATCATAAACACAGGGGACAAAGGTATAACGCCTTCATCTCCAAAGAGAGGCTTTACAGTGGCTAGTAATGTATGAAATGTTATATTTTGGGTTCTATTGTTTTTACAAGAATTGGAAATAATCCATGGATTGCTCCTCAAAACTGGATCAAGAGGGTCAGCCTTGCTCATCTTTATTGCTGTCCTACTGAAAACAACAACCATGTGGATGAGAACAGAAGACAAACAATGAATGAAAGTTGATGTGAAGAATAGATGTTATCAATTGGAAAATGAAAGGCACATCCTAGGTGCAGAGCCTAGCAAAGCAACGAGGAAAGAGTTTTAAAACTTCCTAAAGCATTTTATTCAAGTGTAATCATTTTTTTTTCTAGTTTGGATTTCCATGTTTATATTATAAATACTGTAAACTTGTGCTATTATATTTTTGTCTAATTTGGGGTGGGGAAGGGAACTAAAGCCTAACCCCCTAAAAAGTATTTGGTAATAGTTGTTACTTACTCTTAATTTTCGGCTTTGCTTTCTAACCAGTTTGCCATGCTGAATGAAATGAACAGGGCATTGGTTCATTGCATTGTCTGCTTTATGTCTAAGCCAATCTTCATAACCCTAGAAAACAGTGAAATGGAATGGAATAAAGTTAAGAAAACATAGTGACGTGAACTTTACTTTGAAGTTTCAGATTAGATCTATTTTACAAGAATAGTAAAAAAAAATCCATTACTAAAAATGAAATAATGATAAAATAATAAAAAAATATCACCATGAACAATTTACTATTCGGAAAATTAAACGTGTGTTAATAACATGAAAGGAAGTAATGTGTGTGTTAATAATGTGAGTGAAAACAATCCAATGGAGTGAGCAGAGCAGTGAAAAAATGAAGGAACATTCTTGGTCTCTGAAGAACAGGGAGTTTCCTTTATCTCAGCTTGTTTCACATGTGCTCAGAAGTATGTCTACAACAGTGGCTTTCAAACTGTGTTCCACAGAATCTTGGGGTTTTGCGACAGGTCATCTGGCTTCCACAAAGAAATTGGGGGTAATGGCAGAGCCGGCTGGAAGGCAGTGTGCTGTCATTGCCAGACCAGGTTGCCTGGACCGATTTCATTCTTTAGGACGGGGGTAGGAGCTCCACAGCAGAAGCAGCAATAGGAAAGGGTTCTGTGACTTTAGGAAATTTGAAAACCACTGATCTATAAGAATGGATGTTTAGAACAAAGAAGAAAGGGAACAGATTTGGGATTACTGGGCTCAACATCCAGAGGTTCCATGGTCAAGTTGAATGGCACACTGGGGACGCTAGTGTTGGGCTTAAAAACAGCACACCAATGGTCAGGTATAAATTGATAAAGACCTTGCAGACTAGTGCTTATTTTGGTTGCTAATTATTTCACTAGTTCATGGTATGCAGCAGGGGTAAATATAAAAATGACTGAAGATCTGATAGGAACAATTATTCTAAGTTTGTATAGCCATATTATACAAACACATAAATATCACTTGTTTAACTAGCTTATTCGTGTTAAAGTGGCAAAAAAATGAATGGATAAATTGTTTTGGGAGAAAGTTTCTCCCCTCTAATTCTCTTCTCCAAATTTCTATTGTGTCAATCCCTTTGTGGGCAAAAAGACCAGATGGTGGAATTGACATTTAAACAAAGAGCAGACCTAAGCAAGTCTTTTGCTTTAAATTCCCTGGAAATCTCTAGATGAGGCAATTGATGCTATACATCCAGAGGCAGAATTCAGCACACTTGTTTGTGATGAACTGCAATTGGAAAAAAAGCAACAGCTACTAGCAATGCATGTCACAACTTACCACTCTTTATTTAAGCATAGGTTTTCAGCTTTTTTTAGGAAAGGAAATTCATTTGTCAGCTCTGTTTTTATCTTTGACTTTCTAGAAACACACTCATTACACATCTGGGAATGTATGCAAAATTTTTTTTAAAAATGATATTACATGTCAAGGACCAAGTAAACAAGTGTCACTAGCACTCAGACTCCTCAGACTTCTTTTCATCATCAGGCAAAGAAAACTACAGGATGCATGACCTTCAACTCAAAAGGAAGCCCTTGGTAACTGCAATTGGCTAATGTCAATTATAAATATGTCAATATTTATAATTAAGAAAGGGATGATTCTTTGGACATCTAGGACCTATGCTATTTGGTGTTTAAGACTGAGATTTTAAGAGGGATCCAAGATGCTTAAATGTCACTGAAATTCAACAGAATTTTTTTTTCTTAAGCACATTTGAAAATCCCAGCATAAAACAATATCAACAATGTGAACTGCATCCAGAAGTGAATAGAGAAGTAAATAGAAGTAAAAAGTGAATAGAGAAGTGAAAAGAGAACTGATGTAGATGTAAAAGTATTAATGTAATGCATAGTAGTTTTAACTGCAGAAAATATAAGCAGGTCAAATCTGCAACAGCTGTTCCTTCTGAAATAGGAGAATATGTCTAGTCCCTTGAAGCTTTGCACAGTACATCATAGTAATTCAGTCTGTTTGATTGCTATTTATCTACAATAAGATATTACAAAAATAATCCCTCAGATCTTGGTGTGGGAAATCCACACACAAAATGCTAGTTTACCGTGTTTCTCAGCCACCTATCACAAACAGTGCTGAACTTGGCTGAAGAGTGGGGTGAATCATCCAGAGTGAAGAAGCAAAATATTTCTGTTTGTAGTTTCTTTTAGAATTACTGAATGAGAAATTTAGAGTGAACACTCTGACTTCTTCATTAAGCACATGAAGTAAAAAACCCCACAGTCACACTTACTTATCCCAGTAGAGCAGAGTGGAAATCACATTTTTGAGTTCATCACTATGATCATCACCCTCAAACTCAGGCAAGTCAAACATTTTCAACTGATACAGGGAGAGTTCTGACAAGAATCTTTCTTGATGACCTACCTTCTCAAAGACATCTCTCTAAGCAGCGGGATTGCTTTTGCTGCTGCCTCCAGGGCCCCAGGTAGGGCTGCTGGGGCCAGCCCACTGCTGGCCCCGGCTTCCCCTATCCCACCCAAAGTAATTTGCCAGAGCGCACATGGCACAGTTGTTCCCCAAGGACAACTAGCAGTGGCACAAGGTATGCCACAGCTAGTTGTCCCTGGGGAACCAAATGTTCACACGTTTGGACGTGGCCTGGGTGTTTGAAAAAGGACAGGTTGGGCATGTTTAACTCATATGAAATTCTAGTATCTTTATAGTATCAACATCCTGCACAGCAGATCTACAGAAGGAAAAGCCATCAGTCTGAACTGATTAGAAGAAGTCACAAAAATAAATAGAAACTTCATGGTAAAGCTATATTCATTTAGGCCCCAATCTACTGAAGATATTCTTGATTTAAGATTGATCTTTATATTCATGTATGGTTTTTTGGAGTTTCAGTGGGATTTCACAGGGGCAGCAGTTTGTATGAACTGAGACCACTGAAGAAATGGGGTCATGAAACAACAAATTGCCATAATCCATTCCCTTAAATTAATGCTAATTTGAAATCAGAAAAAATGTCAGGCCAGACCAATACAAGTCCATATGAGCATAAATGTTATTCTATTTGAATAGCCCAACCTTTGTTATGGAGGATCCTAATACATTATATGGCAAGTATCCACTTCATTATTATTTTAGGTTTCATAGAATCATTTTTTAATTAAATTTGAGGGATTCTTATATTGTGCAATCAGCAAATATTTAAAAGGTCCATAAGTATTTCATTATAAACTGGCAATGAACTTTAGCAAAAATGAGTCCTATTCAAATAACCTTGAATGCCCTTCTTGTGGGAGTAATGTATGCAGACTGTACATACTGTAACACTATTGACGACATTTCCTCACAAATAAGAATCACGGTTTTGTTCCATAACTTAATTATGATATTCTGCACCTATGCATTTTCATTTTTATAACACAGGGTAGCACCTTACAAACTAAGATGCCACACTGCCCTGCCTTTTGCCTGACCTCAGGCTAACATGCTATCTCTCTCTATTTTTTTAGAAAAATTCTTTAAGATATAGCTGAATAAATATTTGCGAACTAATTTAAAGTTCAATTGATTCAACTGGGTAAACTATTCCTTGAAGCACAGTGACAATAAATAAAATTATATTATGAAACATTTTGAAGGTTTTGTTGAATAAATGAAAGCCAAAATTTTTAAAACAATAGCATTGTGCATAATACACCAGAGTCAAAGAATAAAAAATAAAGTTCTCAGAGAATGAAAAAAATAAAAAAGACTTTTCCTTTTCCCTATACCCTAAGCCAAAGTAAGAGGAACAGTTAAGAAAGGAAGGAATTCTAACATAACACATCTGTGCAACTTTCAATTTTACTTTTTTGTTCATAAAATTCTCACCTGTTTGATAGCTGTTACAGTGATGACAAACAACAGTGGAAGTCCACTTGTTACCGGACTGGTTGGTGTATCAATAATTAACTGCAACACAAAAAGCCCCCCAACCAAATCAAACTGTTTACATACATTTATACAACAATATTCAGTTTTCCAAGCAAAACATTTGGGTTATATTTTAAAATAGACTAGTATAACCACACATATGGACGCTTACTATTAAAAAAAATTAAATACACTAAGAAATAAATGTAATTTGTCTTTATAAAAATATGTTCCTTTTGCTCTGTGTTTAGAAATGTATGTAAACACATCCATCTATTTTTGTACAGATATACTCAGTTAAGCAAGAGCATATAAGTTAGACTTCTGGAAATGTCTAAGGCCTGCTTTTCTGATTCCCACCCTTCTCACCCCCTGGGACTTTTTTGGTAGAAGAATTATTTAATGAAACCAGATGAGAGGGAATGATCCTAGTGGTAAGGACAGGAAACCAGAATTCTGCTCCTAGCTTACTATGTGTAACTGTGAGCAAATCACTTCTTATTTGCTCTAATTTTCCCTGTGTCTAAAATGTAGATAATATTTACATAGTGGCATTATGAGATGATTGGCTAATAATAACCATGTGGTACTCTGAACATAAAAAATTAGGGGTGCACCAATAGAGATTTTGAGGGCCGGTAGCTGATTTTTAAGGAGGCGTAACGGTTGATACCGATCCGATTTCCAATACAGCTCCATGCAGCTGGTAAGTCTGTTGTAGTAAAAGGGGAGGTGGGAGGGAAGGGGTGTGGGGGGCAGATCAATGCCTCCTGTGGTAAGGGAGGGAGTGGGGCTGGGGTTGGGGCTAGGGCAGGCGCTGCTGAGCCAGGGTGGGGTGGGTGTAGGATCGGTGTCCCCTAGATTTGTGTGGGACGTGGGCGGGGTGGCCAGCAGCTGCAGGCTGGGGCCGGGGCTGTGCTGGGCTCTTCCTGACATGTGAGGGGGAGGGGCAAAGCCTGGGCCGGTGCTGTGCTCAGGGTAGGTAGTGGCAGTGCTGGGAGGGGGCTGCAGCCACCCCAAATTTCACTGTAGCCCCCTCATTGCCCCCCCAGCGCCACCACCACCCGACCCCAGCACCACCCTGGCCCAGCTCCTGCCCCCGCCCACATACTGGGAATAGCCCAGCACAGCCCCGGCCCCAGCCCGCAACTGCAGTCCACCCCGCCTGCATCCTGCACAGATCCAGGGGCATATGCCCCCCACCATGCTCTCCTGGGGTGTGTGCAGTGGTGGGAGCCACCCTGCTCTCCCCACACCTCCCAGACGAGCTGCGGCTCCATCCTGCGCCCTGCCCTACCCCAGCTGGGCAGTGCCTGCCCTAGCCTCTGCTCGAACCCCAGCCCCACTCCCTCCCTCACCATGGGGAGCACTGATCTGCCCCCCGCACCCACAACAGACTTACCAGCTGCACACAGCTCTCCAAGTTGCCAGACTGTGCACCTCGCTGTCTACGTGCTGTGCTGCGGCTGCATGCACGCACGGGCATTTATCAGCCACGTCAGGTTGATTTCTGATGCAGTTCATTTTCTTTATATTGGTGCCTATCCGATATCAGACCAATTTATCGGTGCACCTCTATAAAAAATTCAATAAAAGTACCAGTGTACCCAGATCTCCTCCCCTGCACAGGGTAGGTAACCTAATAAATTATTCCTAAGACTTTTCTTCAATCTGAAAGCTTGTTTGTAATTTGGAAGAACTGTTAAGTTCTAGCTAAACACTTCACTACTTTAAAAAGTTAAAATATGTGGGCTGGAGTGCTCACCTTTTTCTTCAAGTGTTCAATAAATAAAGGTTACACTAACTGGAAATAAGATAGTGGCTGCTTTAGAAGGAAAATGATCTAGTAATTGTTGGCAGTTAAAGCAGACCCACACATGCTGCTATCATAGCTCTCATCAAAGAAAAAATTCCACAAAACTACTGAGAACTTTTGCAATTAGATGGTAAGAAAGCAAAACAGACATAGGGTTCCGGGTCAAGGATAAAAATCAAAACTGTTCCATGTTCTGGTCCCCAAATCCTTATCTCTCAATACTGTTCCAAGAATCTGCATCACTATAACTTGTAGCTATCCAGACAAATAAGCAAGCAAACTCCTGCAAGAGTCTTTTGTTCAAACTTAATGTACCTCTATTACATTTAGTGCATGAAATAGCAAGGAAAGCTGCAGAATTATGAAGCCTAAAAAATGACAGCCTCCAATTACTCAAATATATCATTGCCTAAGATGACCATGTTAGTGCCCCTATATTAGTCTGTTAGCCCACATTGATTCGGGCTGACTACTACTTTTAGCTGGAGCTCTCTCCATACACATTGAGACTATAGCAGTTATAATGAACATCATCAACATGCCAACTATGGTGGTGGCACTTTTAAATAGTACCCATAACTCTTCCCCAATTCAACTGAGGAGCCTGAAGGAGTGCATCCTTTAAGCAGCTGTTCACTACAAATTTTCAAAAACCCACGTTTTATGACACATTAATCATCAGATCGTAACAACTGTACCACTTTTCCCTGGGTTGGACTGATATTAGTAACCTGGACATGTGTTAAAGAGCTAATTTTTAATTGATCAGCAATGTTGCTGACTACTGAAGCTCAATGATCTATTTCTCCCTGTCATCAAAGTGGTGAGTCTGAAAATAGTGGGGGGGTTTTAAAACTCTTCCAAAAATATTTTTCCAGAAGGTGCGTAAATTATTAAAGAAATGGGAATGGCTTACCTGAACAAGAAAAATGATGAGAAAATAAAAGTTAGCTATTCTTCTGAATTGCTCAAACAAGTTCTTCGGTACAAAGTTCCAAAATGTGTACTAAAAAATATACATATAAAAAGAGTATTAAAGTGTTTGTGATACTACTACTTCTTTATAGTCATGCCACACTATATTACTGACAGCAAAGATCATAGGCACCTATACATATACAGGCACACCCTTGAAGAATCAAACTAGCTCAAAATTTGCAAACAAAATTTAAATATTACAAGTTGATTTTTGCAAACTCATTCACACAAACTCGCTGATAAGCAGCCTTCTCAGAATCATGCAGCTAACTGATATTCAAGGTACCCCTGTCGCACTCAACAGTTTCACTCATATCCGAGTTCTGGCCATTCACTGAACTAGGTTTATATGGCAACACCATCCAGTTAGATGTTTAATTGAGGAGCAGTTGGTGTAAAGCTACTAAGTGAAGGAATTAGTCCTAGAACTACTGCTTAGTCTAATGATGCAACTAACTCTTCTCCATTTTTTAACATGCTAAACATGCTTTGACAGCAAATCAGGAACAAAACCAAAGTTGTCAACCTCTCTTACACTCATTAGCTTTTAGTTACACATACCCCTCCAAACAACAAAAAAAGTACTAAGAAAGTTTATGGCTGCAAAGCCTTTACTTAATAGTTAAGCAAAGGCTTTGCAGTTTTTTTATTTATATAACAGTTTTGCTATTCATATAATATGACATCAAAAGGTACAGTATATGAACAAGTAAACAATGTATAAGCTTGCTCTTTATCTGCCTATTTGGTCATGAAAATGACATATCTAAACAGAAAAAAATATGGCTATACTTGGTGTAAGAATGTGTGATATACAACTTACGAAAACTGAAACTAATATCCTATGCAGCCAAATAATGATTTGACGCAGACAAAAAATATCAGTATTACTGCAAATTTGCACATCTAGGGAGCAGGGCAGGGACTCTTCAATTGATGGTTTTTGCTGCCCTTCCCTCTTCTTGGCAAGTTACATTGGTTGCTTCTTGATATGGAAATTATACTACCATTTACATTACCACTGAAATTGGCTCTCAAAACATATGTAAAGCCTTTAGCTGGGATGTCAGAAAGATGGAACTCCTGTATAATTTATTGGTGAACTTCATTTGCACAGGAAATACCAATACAAATACTCATTTGGATTTATATTTACTGATCTTACATGCAGGAGGAAATGTCCCCATCATCATGGTGTGAACAAAGGGGTAACAGACTTGTATATAAATATGCCCTGAGTGAAGGGGAGAGAAGGGGGGGCATTCTCAACCTAACCTGCATAACACCCCTGCCATCTAGGGTAATCCGGGAATGAGCCAAAAGCCAGGCATGCCTACTAAGTGAAGAAGTTAAAAGGCAAGGTTCTCTTATCTTGCTGTTAGAAGGCAGTTTCAGGGTTTGAATCCTTCCCCTTACTGAGCACTGGAGCCTAAAAAACAAAGCTGAATGGATTTCACTAAGTTTCCCCTCTAGGTAGCGGAGGTATAGAGTAGGCCTGTGCAAAGTGGCTAGTATTCATTTTAGATTCAGCTGATTTGGGGGACAGTGATTCGATTTGGTGATTAGAATCACCACTATCCCAAACTGATTTGGCTGAATCTGATTCGGCCGCTGGTGGATCAGACAAATCTCCAAATCGAACAGGCCTCATCCCCTGCCTGCTCTTCTAGATCCGCCAATGGCTGCCATGCCTGGGCCCAGTGTCCTGGCACTTAAAAATCAAAAAAGCCCTGAACTCACCAGTTGCTGCCAAGAGTGGGGGCGATCCCCGCTGCCCCCCACTGTGTGGCTCCCCTGTCGGGGAGGGCTCTGCCACAAGCCCCGAGAGGCCCCAATGGCCTCTATAGCAACTGTGGCCTTTTGAAAACGGGTGGGGGGGGGGTTTTTTTTTTTTTTTTTTTTTTTTTTTTTTTAAGTGGTGGAATGCTGGGGCCAGGCGGGGCAGCTTTTGACAGTGCTGGGAGAGCAAGTGGGGGTTGGGAGGTGCTCAGGGGGGTTGGGGGAGCAGGCAGGAGATGGGGCCTGGCAGAGGTCCCCCCATGGGCCCTTCCCCCCTTCTCTAACCTTCCCCTCCATGCCCCCTACTTACTGGCATGGAGTCTGGGTCCAGCTCCCTGCACCAGTGAGCGGGGACTGCCTGAATTGCCAAATCTCCTCCGAATCTTTTTCTGAATTGATTCAGAGGCTTTGGATCGATTTGGACCTTTTTATTTGTCTTCCGATTCAATTCAGATTCAGAGATTCAGCCGCTAAATCGGGCCTAATCTCCCCAAAATCAAATCAGCAACTGAAGCTTTACTTAGTCCTAGTATAAAGCTCCCATCTAGAAAGGAAGAGACAGTGCAAAAAAGAGGTGTTGTCTCTGTGCAGCAAAATCACTAAGGGCTGAAATCACTTAAGGCTAGATTAAGGGGTAGAACTCTGATTTATTGTGGCAGTGAAATACAAGGACACAATAGCAGCAAAAGCAAGGCACCTGCTACCCAACATCTGTAGAGCTGTGACCAGTGATAGGTGGGACAGATGGCAGGGGTGTTATGCAACTCTTATCAGGTACACAGAGGAGCAGAACAGAGTTATCATGTAAACCAGAGGCAGAGTGGTAAGAGGAGATATCAGTGAAGTAGTGGCTAGCAACAGAACAACAGTGGCAAGACAACACAGAGATGGCACTGAGATATTTCTTAATGGAAGCAAGAGCCATTTTCATCACTGTAGGGTTGGAGGCAAGCCCATATGAATACACCTCCAGATGCTGGGACTTTGTTAAGGTCTTGTAACAAATAAGTGGTGTTAATGGATGGACTGGAAAAGTGTTATATTGGAGGGATATTTATTCGTTAGACATTCAGCCTACAAAGTGGGAAAAATGATGTGAAGGACTACTGTCAAAAATATTGCAGGCATGGGATTTACATCCTATTTGCATAATATTGACTTACTGTTGCTGTGTTTTTCCAAATGAATGCCATGCTCTCTCCCTCTGTAATAAATGCTTTTCTTGTTTTATTTACAGACTTATTGCTTGTAAGTGAATAAATACTGCTCAGAAGGCACCCAGGTATTTGGCTTTCCTGTTCTTGGGTGGATACCCAAGCCAGTTTTCTTTTGCAATTTAAAAAAGAACCCCTAAATACAGAATCTAGCATTTATAGCTGCTGACAGCATATGGTAGAAAGGTTCACATAAAAATGGACTTTAAAATTTCAGAAGGTTATGGACAATACTCAGTTGTTGCCAGAGTTCTAGAATATGGAACAGGCATTGCAACTGAAATAATCATTTAGAAATGGTGGCTTGAAAGGGGCTTAGGTGATTGGCATGGAGGGAAACAGGGTAGGAACAAATATATTCAGAGATAAGGAGGCAACAGCAGATGGTACCCACATGGAATGTGGATTTGTTTTGGTTGGAGAAGGAGATAGGTATGTAGAGGAAAGAGAAACAAAGCTGGTGGGAAGTGTAGGGCTAGGGATAGAAGTTATACATAAACTGGTATAAGTCATTGGAAACTGGTTCAAACACAACAGAAGTTCAGTGCACAGAAACCGCTTTCAAAGTGGCCAAAACCGGTTTACAATAAACCTGGATGAATGTAGTATCAGACTTAATTGATTTAGGTTAAATCAGTTTACTGAAATTCTATTCTAGATCCCTTCCAGATTCAAGTTAACTTGCAGTCCTCCAGCATCCCAGGAGGCTTTCCACCTCCCCCATACACCACCCCTCACAGGATGGGAGGGCTAGCTCTGGCTCAAACTGTCTGTGCCAACCAAGCAGGGAGGTGTGCTCTAGCATCCCCCAGCTCCTGGTCTGGGCCACTGCAGGCATGAGGCTGCATTTCCAAAATCAAAAGTGAAAGTCTGTTCACTTACTTATTGGTTCAGTCTACACAGCTTAGCTAACCTGCGAAAACTGAATTGATTCAGCCTCGGGCTTTTTGACAGATGGTACTTAGCCTAGAGGGTTACAAGAGTGGGGAAATGGAATCAGGGGAAGGATAAAGAAAAGGGATGCTATGTTGCAAGACCCACAAGTGAGTTTCAAGAGGGACAAGTTTACCAAAAAACAATAAATAAATAATAGCTTTTTTATTGAAGTTTTGGGGCAAAAACATCCTAAATAATGGCACTGAAACTGAGATGACAGCCTGGGGTGGAGGGGAGGGGGTAGGGTGCATGGAGTGGGAAGCAGACTGGTTCCAGCTGTGAGAAATTACCCCTGGAACTGGTCTGTGCAAGGGAAGAGGCGAGATGTAAAATTTCTGAACATTCAGAAGGTATGGAAAAAACCCGTTTCCCCACCCCCCTTTTTGAAAAATTCAAATATATGCAATATTTATTTTCTTATCTATATGCATTTACTTTACTACATTAAGAACATGAAATACATTATGTATAACTTAATTAGCACATAAAGCTGTAATGTTTGGTATATTTATGAAATTTAAAAGTATAAATGCCTAATTATTATTTGAATAAAATGAAGTAATTTAAAATAATTAGTAGTAATTATTGTTACAGCTGGAGGTACAAGCTGCTGCACCCTAAGGTACTTAAGCATGTCTTAGTTGTTGCCAGTTCATGAAAACTAGGGAAAAAAAGTTTAAAATAGAAACCATCAACATTGTAGTAAATAAAAGGAAGTTTTTATTATCTGGACTTAGAAAGCCTCTTCTATACAGTCAGCATTCTCCGGAAACAGAAGAAACTCATATTTTTTAGAAAAAGAGCTCAGAAAAAAATCCCTTGTATGTCACTTAATCAAATATATCCTTGGAAATATTACCATCGTAAGTTTCATTGTCTAATCTGAGTCAAACTCCATTTCTGAAATATCAATATTTTCTGATTCTGAATCTGAACCTTCATTTTTATCTTCATGGACTTCAGAAAACTGAAGGTTTGCACTGATTAAAACAAGCTTCTCTATTCTCTCACAGGTTAGTTTATTTCTTGATTTGGTGTGTATATTTCCAAACATAGACCACTTTCTTTCGTGTGCCGCAGAAGATGGAGGAATCTGAAG